AAGAAGATGGCTACTTATCATCACATGATATTAACGGATGACGTTCCAAAACATAATGATTGTCCAACCGATGCAAACATTTGGTGTAAATGGAAAAAAGCTGAAGCTCTTGGGATAGAACCTTCAGCACATCCGAATCCATTGCATCCTGACGTCCAAAAAACAGTTCTTCCAATATATAAAGATCTGTCGAAAGATGATTTATTGGAAAGATGTTTGGGCGGTCATACACAAAACGCGAATGAAAGTTTCAACTCAACTATTTGGCGATTGGGTCCCAAACACCTACACAGCTCCATGGAGAGTAAGGAAGCTCGGAAAGACAAACTCCAAGCTGAAAACGAAAAGTTTGAAGCTGTTTAACTTGATTCATTAATGCCTTATGATAACCATTTGAGTCACAACATTACACATATTAAAACTAACACTGGATTCGTAATCAAAAACAACACCAAAAACAAGTTTTAAACGAAATCATTTGTTTCTAAAAACGGATGTCCACCAAATTGGATCTGCCACTTTTAATTTTTGAAATATGACATCAGATTCGTAATCAGCGACCCCAAAAACCTCGAGTAACTAGTTTCAAGCAAATTCAAAATTTTTTTAAAAATTCCTTGGCCATATTGGATTCGCCATTTTGAATTTTAAGAAATCAACCTCAGATTCGTAATCAGCGATCCCGAAAACATAGTATACAGTACTGTTTGGAACATTTCGATTATTTGCGAATTCCATGACTCAAAGGGTTAACCCTTTCTGGAACTTTTTTTCAAACACGTTATTCTCAAAACAACTTTTTTTCGAAATTGTGAACACTAGCACAGTCAATATGACCTTTAAATTTTTTACTCAAATAAAGATTATATGCTATGATCATCGAATTGTCAGCAATACATTCAAATGACCCATATTAGGGTCTATGCAAAGAGAATTCCTATTTTAATTACCACAAGACCAATTTCAAAAAAATTATTTTCTTTCACAAAAACGCCATCTTGTTAAAAATTAAAAACAAAAGTTGTGTTGAACACATCAATCACAACAGAATATTATGCCAAAGTAAAAAAAAAATTTTTTTCAAAAATAATTTTAAAAAAACTTTATAAAAAATTAAATTTTTTGAAAATAAAAATTTTCAAACATGAGACTTTTTTAAAATGAAAATTTGTGCTGGCTTGTGTTAACCGTCCTGAAAAGGACAGATTGTATTGACCGGCAGATGGTTGATGTATATTATTTTAGGTTTAAAATAGAGCTGTGCAAAAGTTCGAATTTTGTATGGGCTCGGATCGAATATTCGATTCGAGGTTCCGCGACAGCTTGACTCGTAAGAGAGTCAGTTGAATTAACTGACTTGTTGCTCCGTTAAAGATTGGGGGCGACTGAGAGCGAGTCAGGAAAATTGCAGTCTTTATGCGCCTCTGCTTTGTTTCATCCGCCGTTTCCCCTTCCCACATGGCAGAAGCCAATCAGCGTGTGAGATACCCCCACCAGCACTGCGCCTGTGAGGTACGGTGAAGGAGTCAAGAGTGGGGGTACGTCTGTCTCTCTTACGCTCTGCATGCTCAAATGAAAAACGGTCACTCTTTAGACTACGCCCTTGCCAAATAGTGGTACTTGAACGCTCTGTATCTGTATATTGGCATATCCTTGAATTTATTATTACTATACTATATTACTATTATTAGGATATTTACCTTATAATTTGGTTATATTTTACATTGTTCGTATTTTATAAACTATTTACAGGAAATATTCAAGTAAGTTTTATTTTAGTGATTTATTAAGATAAGGATATTTAGTACATAATTTAGTTATATTTTACTGTATTCAAATTTTATAAGCTATTTTCGGAAGTTATTTTTACCTTAGTGATTTATTATCATAAGTATATTTAGTTTATAATTAGGTTATATTTTACATTATTTTGATTTTATGAACTATTTTCTATAAATATTTAAGTGATTTACTACTATTATAAGGAGATTTAGTCTATAATTTTGTTATATTTTACAGTGTTCGCATTTTATAAGTTATTTTTGAAAATATTTAAGTGGTTTTTATTTTAGTGATTTACTATTAATATAAGGTTAGTTAGACTGAAATTTAGTTTTGACATTATGGATACCAGTAAAAATAATGGTGAGAAAAGTGAAGGGGAAGTTCAGTTTAAAAAAAAATTATTACCAAAAAAAACTGTTTGATGAGAAAAGTAACAAATTTGAAACAGTTATTGCGTATTCCGGAATTTCATGAAGTATTAAATTCTGGTGGTCAAGTTGCTGCACCTTCGTCAGAAGTATATAAAAAAATTTCTTCTGCTCTAGACAAGGAAAATGATATGGCACCAAAGTATATTTATACCATTATTTTACAAAACAGATACAATGTGTATTCTGAATTGACGGAGCTGTTAAACATTCAAGTACCGTTTCAAGAAAGTATTATTAGCAATGATAGTACACTTGATTTTGAAAACGAAGTTTCTGAATTTTGTATTCATGTAACTGAAATTTGTCCGTCAATGCAACCGCAGTATGAGTTACATAAATTTAAAACGAGAGACCGAAATGTGAGAAAATTAAGGAAAAATTCGTGGACACATGTACTATTCGAAGAAATCCATCATGTTACGAATATTCCTTGTGCCCTTAGTTTTAACTATTCTAAGTTGTCCGATTCTGAAATTTTCGTCACAGTAACTGCAGTTTGTTCTGAATGTCCCTATAAATTCACTGGAAAAATTGCCAATGAACCGGAAGAAGGAGAATCAATTTTCATGGATTGCACAATAGAAAAATTTGATTCAAGTGCAATCCATGTTAAGAAGAGACATCTTCAGGGAAAGCTTCGTTCTGCAGTAGGCAATTTACTTGTGGAAAGAAACCTTTTACCTTCTCAACACAGAAAGAACGAAGCTCATCGTTTAATTAAAACTATAGGAGAAGATAGTCCACCGCATTTAAGCAAAAATGATGTGCTTAGTAAAGTGAAGCATGAAGCCCTTAACAAAAAACTGGGTATTTTGACTTCAAAATCCATGGATGGATTGTACTTTTTAAAATATAGTGAAAAGTGCGAAGGAGCTATCCGAAATATAGAATTAGATCCTCATTTCGTATACTACTGTACGAAAGAGCAACAATTGGTTTTCGAAAAATTCCCAACAACATTGTACTTGGATGCAACAGGGAGTGTTATTAAACCCATCAAACTCCCAAATGGTGATCATTGTTCGCATATTTATTTGTATAAAGCAATGGGGGATGTAAATGGCAAATCTGTGCCACTATTTTAGATGCTTTCATCATCTCAAAACACTGTTTCCATTTTTGTGCTTACGTACAAGTAAAAAGTTTACCATATTATTTAAATTTGTGCTTTGAAATAATTAAAGGTGCCGATTTTGTTATTCCTGTTTGTATCTTAAGGTTAGATGTCTGTCATTTTACTCAAATGATTGCTCGATGGAAGTGTTATCCAAAAAATCAACCTAGAGTCAGGACAATATACTTGCGAGCAATGTGTTTACTTAGAAAACAAGAGGATTTCGTCGAATTTAAGGAGATGGCTTGAGCAAGTCTAATTCTTGCTTTTTGTAGAAGCGGAAACAAGGACAGTTCAGCTGATAAAGCTAAACAGTTTTTAAGGTCAAAAATAAAGGGAATAAGTGATGAAACAGTGGAAGAAGACTGAAGAAGAAACGGAATCATTATCAGCATCAGGAATGGGTTCACAATACGTATATTAATATTAAAAAAAGGCGGATTGTGAAAATTTTGCTGATGAGGATGATATTAATGGTTATAATCTTCCAGCTTTTGCTTTGAAGGTTAAACAGCTTCGTTTATGTTTCCCAAATTTTACAGAAATATTGAGGAAAGAACGTAATTTTGGAGCAATTAATCCTACGTCAGCGTGTATAGAATCATATTTTAATGATTTAAAACATCGCTCTTTCAAAATTTACGGACTTCCTTTTCGACTTGATAAATTTATTGCAATATATGTCTTGGAAATAATCAAGAAATTGCTTGAAGCTGCAGCTGGATCTTTAACAATAACAGAAGATGGACAAATTGAAGCAGTTTTAAAATCATCAAAGACGCCAAAACATGAAACTAAAAAAAGAAAACTTAATAATAATGAAGTTATTAAAGAAATTCTGGATTTTTGTAAGAATTTTTGTAAAATTTTTGTAGTTTTCAAGAGGTCGAAAAAGATTTCGTAACTGACGTCGTAGATTCTGAAGATTCTTTGAAGGAAGTTACTGACTTTAAAAATATTCAGAACTCAAAACCAAAAAACAGAAAAAGGAATGGGGCTCAATATGATGAAATTTGTCCCGAATTCGAGCCATCGTGTGAAAAATTAACAAATTCTCCGATTTTGACAAATGGAAATCGTTGCAAAAACATCAGGGAAGCAACTTCTGTTACAATTGTCACAAATACTTGTGCGTTTGACAGTTTAGTGCACATCCTGAGCATGTAAATTTTAAACAATTCTTTTTATAATGAAAAAATTAACAATGCTCTTGGCGCAATATTCTCCTTTTCAAAACATTTTATTAACAATAAATTATGTGCTTCAGTTTTTAAAGAAAGAGCAAAGATTCTTCGTGAAGCAAATGTAACAAATACGGAGAGCACGGAATATTGTAAAAATAAAGCCAAGAAATTATTCCTTAAAATAATAAAAGTAAACGCATTATCCAATGTCACAGATCTTGCTATTCAGCTTTTTGCTGACTTACCAAGCTACAGCATCGAATATATTTGTGTACAACATGTTCACAATGTTCCACTGATACATATGTCCTAGCACACATTAACTTACAAGATATACAGTCCTTAGGTATATCCAATTTACAACAAGCATTAAAATCTCCGATTAAAAGAAACAATGTTTGTTGCTCTAAAATATTTAAAGCAAATATTGACTACGGAGCTCATCTTTTAATCTCTGTTGAAATTAAAATGAAAAATGAAGTACAAATGTCTGATATATCCATAAAAATTACAACAGAAGGAATAAATTACGGTATAGCAGGATTTGTTGCTTATGAAGGACTGTATGACTTAAGTGTACCTGGACATTATGTAGCTTATGTTTACGTTGGTAGGAGATGGTTGAAATATGACGATTTGTCATCTTCAAAATTACCTCAAAGAATAGACAGTAAAGAAATCATAGATCTGCATTTTTTCATCTACGTTAAACTTATGTATTCCCAAGAAGCACGTAATATATCCTCAATATCAAGGTAATATTACACGTGAGATTCGTAATATAACGCTGTAATATTACAGTAATCTTACAGTGATCTTAAAATGTCCGCCTCAAGGTAATATTACTGTAATATTAACGGTAATATTACAGTAATATTACAGACTGATTTGAGTTATTCATAAAGCATAAAAAACGTAAATATATTATAAGTCAATTTGGCTTGTTGGTAAAACTCTCGACTCGTGTGCTTTGAGTTCGGGGTTCGATTCCCTGGATGGGTAGATTTTTTTCGTAAAGAAATGTTCCCATAATATTACTGTAATATTCTCTTGTAATATTACCTTAATATTACGGTATAATATTACTGTAATATTACCGGTAATATTAGCTTGAGGCGGACATTTTAAGATCTCTGTAAGATTACTGTAATATTACAACGTTATATTACGAATCTTACATGTAATATTACCTTGATATTGAGGTTATATTACGTGCTTCTTGGGTTATTAATACAAATTGGCTAAAAACATAAAAATTATTAGCAAAAGTGCAATTTTCTTCAAAATTTCTGTAATAACTTCTTTAGAAGAAGTTTGAATAATTAATTAGTTGATACAATTTATTAAAAAATACAATTTCACAAAAAAGTTAAAGCATCATGAATGTTCAAATAATTTAAAAAATTAAATAGTATACAATAATGATATTTGTAAAAAATATTTAAGTTTTATAAATATACTTAAACTTAATAGCAAGATAGTGTTTAAACTATCAAATTTTTTAAACACGCCACCAAGTTAAAACACTTCAACTTGATGCCAGTCCTAAGCCTGTAAAGTGTGAAGGAAAAATTTTGATTTTTATAAACATTCAATTAGAAATACCGCTGCACCACTCGACTGACTCTCGCTCTTGACACCTTCACCGTACCGCACAGGCGCGGTGTTGGTGGGGGTATCTCACACGTTGATTGGCTTCTGCCATGTGGGAAGGGGAAGCGGCGGATGAGACAAAGTAGAGGCGCATAAAGACTGCAATTTTCCTGACTCGCTCTCAGTCGCCCCCAATCTTCAACGGAGCAACAAGTCAGTTAACTCAACTAACTCTCTCACCAGTCAAGCTGTCGCGGAACCAGCCAACTTCTTAACGCCATGTTACCAACCGCCAGCCGTTATAAACAATCTGTCCTTTCCAGGACAAACACCGAACAAAATGTCAAACGTAGGAAATACTTTAAGTTTGAAACCTAAAATAATATGAATTAAAAGTCTGCAGTTCTGTACAATCTGTCCTTTTCAGGACAATGGAAAAAATGAACTTTAGGGAAGAGTGTTACTGTCTTCGGTTAGCACAAGTCAGCACAACTTTGAATTTTTCAAAATTCTCACTTTTGAAAATTTTTGTTAAACAAAAATTAGAAAAAACATGATTTCCTATAGAAAATAGGAATTTTAGGGGAAAGTTTATTGCAATTTTTTTACTGTGCTCGGTTAACATAAGTCGGCACAACTTTTCTTTTTCAAAATTTTCAAAAATTTTGTTTAAAAAAAATTAGAAAAACGTGATTTTCCATGGAAAATATGAATTTTTGGGAAAAGTTTATTAAAAGTTTTGTACAGTTCTCGCTTAGCACAAGTCAGCACAACTTTTCATTTTTAAAAATTCTCTTTTTTGAAAATTTTTGTTTATACAAATTTGAAAAACGTGATTTTCCATGGAAAATATGAATTTTTGGGAAAAGTTTATTAAAAGTTTTGTACAGTGCTCGCTTAGAACAAGTCAGCACAACTTTTCATTTTTAAAAATTCTCTTTTTTGAAAATTTTTGTTTCAACAAATTTGAAAAACATGATTTTCCATAGAAAATATGAATTTTTGGAAAAACATTAGTAAAAGTTTTTTTCTGTGCTCGGTTAGCACAAGTCAGCGGACGTTAAATAAAGTTATTGCAATTTTGAAGCTCCCAATTGAAAGCTGACGTAATTCCGCATCCAATGAGTCCTATATGAACTATTTTGGATTAGAGAATTTTTTATACACAATTTCAATGTTAGCCAATTGTTTATTAACAATCCACTAACCCAAAGTACTTCATATAGGGCTCGTTGGATGCGAAATTATGTCAACTTTCATTTAGTAACGTTCGAATTACGATAAGTTTATTTGTTTATAAAATATATCATTTTTTATTAACTCTAATTAATTAATATCTTGCTGATAACGAAAAAGGACATTTCCATATTTTTTGTGTTGAAAGTATACGTTTCAAACAATTTCTAAAAAAAAGTAAAAAATGACCGATTTTGAAAAAAAGTCAAAAATTTTTTGATTTTTAAAAAAGTTGGGAAAAATTTTGAATTTTTATTGTTCACTAATCAAAAGAGCTCAAAAAAACCTTTGGAAAACATATATGTCAAAATTTTTTTTAATCTACTTATATAACACAGGCACACAAAAAAAAAAGTTGTCTGTTTCTTGAACTACACATATATTTCCTATAGTATTTTGGCCCGCTGAAACCGAATCTGAGCTCAGAATTGCTCCATCACCCTCAGTTTTTTTTTAAATCGACCAAAACCACCCTTAAACGGACAAATTCACACTTCGGAGATAAAAAATAAATCAACTTATTTTTTAAAAAAACCAAATTTTACATCTACGAAACTTTGCTCCACTAACTCAAAAACAGAGCCAGCATTGATCCAGCACCCCCTGAATTTTTTTAATCGAAAAAACTACCCCTAATCTGAAGAATCAAATTCAGGAGGTAAAACAATAAAATAACTGATTAAAAAATTTTATAACCAGATATTTTTACTCCAGCAATGCAAGAAACAAAGCCAGAAATGCTCCCTCACCCTCTAAATTTTTTTTAAATCGAAAAAACCACCCTTAAATAGAAAAATTCAAATTTAAGAAGTAAAAAAATATTAAATTACCGGCTTTTTTTTAAAACAGAACCTTACACGTTTGTAGTTTTGCTCTACTAACTCAATAAAATAACTGATTAAAATTTTATAACTAGGTATTTTTACTTCAGCAATGCGGAAACATACCTGGCTGTAAAATTTTTCAATCAGTTATTATATTGTATTACCTCCTGAATTTGATTCTTCAGATTAGGGGTAGTTTTTTCGATTAAAAAAAATCAGGGGGTGCTGGATCAATGATGGCTTTGTTTTTTTGAGTTAGTAGAGCAACACTATAAACATGTAAGGTTCTGTTTTTAAAAAAAGCCGGTAATTTAATATTTTTTTACTTTTTAAATTTGAATTTTTCTATTTAAGGGTGGTTTTTTCGATTTAAAAAAATTTTAGAGGGTGAGGGAGCATTCCTGGCTTTGTTTCTGCCTTGCTGGAGTAAAAATACCTGGTTATAAAATTTTTTAATCAGTTATTTTATTTTTTTACCTCCTGAATTTGATTCTTCAGATTAGGGGTAGTTTTTTCGATTAAAAAAATTCGGGGGTTGCTGGATCAATGCTGGCTTTGTTTTTTTGAGTTAGTAGAGCAAAACTACAAACATGTAAGGTTCTGTTTTAAAAAAAAGCCGGTAATTTAATATTTTTTTACTTCTTAAATTTGAATTTTTCTATTTAAGGGTGGTTTTTTCGATTTAAAAAAAATTTAGAGGGTGAGGGAGCATTTCTGGCTTTGTTTCTGCATTGCTGGAGTAAAAATATCTGGTTATAAAATTTTTTAATCAGTTATTTTATTGTTTTTTCTCCTGAATTTGATTCTTCAGATTAGGGGTAGTTTTTTCGATTAAAAAAATTCAGGGGGTGCTGGATCAATGCTGGCTCTGTTTTTGAGTTAGTGGAGCAAAGTTTCGTAGATGTAAAATTTGGTTTTTTTAAAAAATAAGTTGATTTATTTTTTATCTCCGAAGTGTGAATTTGTCCGTTTAAGGGTGGTTTTGGTCGATTTAAAAAAAAACTGAGGGTGATGGAGCAATTCTGAGCTCAGATTCGGTTTCAGCGGGCCAAAATACTATAGGAAATATATGTGTAGTTCAAGAAACAGACAACTTTTTTTTTTTGAGTGCCTGTGTAATATTTACACTTTTAATAAATTAAATAATTATTAAGGTTAATAAAAAATGATATATTTTATAAACAAATAAAGTTATCGTAATTATAACGTTACTAAATAAAAGTTGACATAATTTCGCATCCAACGAGCTCTATAATGGAGTAACTTTGGTTAGTGGATTGTTAATAAACAATTGGCTAACATTGAAATTGTGTATAAAAAATTCTCTAATCCAAAATAGTTCATATAGGACTCATTGGATGCGCAATTACGTCAGCTTTCAATTGGTAGTTTCAAAATTGCAAATAATTTTATTTATTTATGAAATATTTCATTTTCTATTAAGGGGTGATTACGGTGATTTTTTTCACGATGTTTTTTTATAGTAAAAAAATATTTATTAGTTACATTTTTTTATGATAAGATAAATATTTTAAAGAGTTAAAACAATTTTTGTTTTTTAACAATCTAATAAAAAATGGCTGCCGAAAGTGGTACATTTTAAAAGTTTGTCACACTTTTTCTCTAGAACATTTAATCTAAAATGAAAAAACCAAAATTTTTCTTAATCTATACTATTTTGGCTATCGTGTAAACTAGAATGAGAAATATTTATTGAAAAAAAACGATTGGCAGACTTTTTTCATTTTTTGACAACAATTTTGCAACTTAAATTGTTTATAACTTTTAAAAATATTAATGGATTTTAAAAATTCTAGTTTAGACGAAAACTACACATGTAAGGAACATATTGTCTCAATTTAAAGTTAATTGGTTGAATAGTTTTAAAATGAGAGTGTGACAAAGTTGAAAATATGCAGTTTTGAGAAAAACGCGTTTAAAATTTTTTAAGTAGAAATTAAACAAAAAAGTGATTCTTACTCAATCGGCGATACCGGTTATATACACAGATCCTTCTTTGGCTTATAAAATATCATTTTCGAGTAGTTTAATGCCAGTAAAGTAGCAGTGAGTGCCTCTG